CAAATTATCTTGAAAGATTCTCGAGTGGAGGTATCGTGAACAAAGTTTCGTTCGAAGTATAACACACGAACGCATTAGAGTGCGATATAAACAAAGGCCAATTCAGAGACTTGTTAAATTGTGTTTTGCCGTCGGGATAGTTTGAAGTGGTGCGGTGATCTTAATCAAACGAAAATGAATGATAAATTTGTGTGAATGATTAATCATCAATCCGTAAGCAGATTGTACTGATTCAATAAGATAGTATAGTATAAGTGAGCATAAATTCTTTTTGCCTTTTTTGCTAATTGTAAATTTCTAAAGTATCTATCGCTTTGTTCAACGGTGCAACATCACATCACATTTCATTCACCTTCAGTTGTGCTTTTTATTGAGAACTTAGCAAAAAGCAATGTAAAGTTGATGAAATGATTGACGATGATCACCACAAATATCATTTGGTATATTGATAAGATAAGATGCTCATATTGATAAGGCAATTGCAGCATTTGTATTGATACATTGCTCATTGTGGGCGATTGATAAACCTGATGAAGGACACTTTAAGGTTGTGTTAAGCAAAGATACATTGGCCTTTGTCATTGATATTATGGAAGATGTGTGCGACAATGCAAAATCAGCCAATCCAGATGACGTTCTAATAAAAGAAAACGAGAAACCTAGCGATGCGGAAGACTCTGGCAATCATGATATTGGATCAGCTGATGTGAGCACTCTGAATGAACCGGAAGCGAATGGTGCTGATCAAACGGTCCGTAAAGGATGCCGTGTTCAACTGCAGAATCTTCCTCGATTTATGGGTTTTAAACAGTTCAAGACATTCCTCGCCAAGTGAGTGAATCACTGATTGCTTTTGTTATCAAGCGAAGTGGATCAGCTATGTGTCTTGGGTTACTTACAAAAGTGCAACGAACCAAGTAACTGTAAATGGAAGCATTCGTGTGACGGACTTAAAGCCGTTCGGAACTAATCCGAACGGCTTTAAGTCCGTCACACGAATGCTCAATTCAAGCCTTCCAAAATCAAATGAAATGATCCGTCATTCGTCTTCTCCCTAATGTAGCGTAGCGTCATGAATTTTCCAGTTTTAAGAAATGCTATAGTGTCCCAAATGATGTGCTGTCATGAATTTCCCCTGAATTGTTTCTCTCAAAGTGCATAGATTCCTCATTGGATGTTCGTGATTTGGTTGCTTTAGAAATGTCGGGAAAGAGTCTGTGAGGAAGATTCGGGTCACATCCGATACGGCCTACTTCTCGATGGCCACTCCAGAGGAGGCATTGGAAGCTGTGCGAATTCTGAACGATTGCACAATCAAGAAATCGAAAATCAGCGCTAAAATCGTCAACGATGAGCCACCGAAAGGCAGAGATATTCAAGTGAGCCAGCATCAACTAATACTTGTGGCTTATTTTACTAGCTCGAACGATCTGCATTTTATGTTTCATTTGAATTTCATTTGTGTTTGTTCCTGAAAAGCAGCAAAGATTTCAGCGAAGCAATGCCGATGAATGTGCATCAGCAGTTCAAAAGACTGCTCGAGAGATTGTGACACCATTTGCTGATGTGGAGTACAGCGAGCAGTTGCAGTACAAAATGGCTAATGCAAGTCGATTGACGAAATCGCTCATTAATATGATGAAATTCGCCAACATTAAAGCTGCATACTCGATGAACCCATCCCATCTCATCAAACCAGTAAGCACTAGTCTTTTTCTTTGTCATTCACCTTGCATGGATCCGCTATCATCCATAGCTGTCAATTGTTCACTCTGAACAGCCATAAGGTCGATAGGGCAATTGCATCCAACGTAACGGGTTTCTGGTGTCTTGTCCACATAAAGGCGCGGTGATCTGTTAAGTTCACTTGAGGAACCATTGAATTCATTTGGATGTCCAAAATAAAGAAAGAATATCAATTCATGGTGTTTTATCTGTATTACCTGAGTGAATGGTTAATTTGCCTGTAAAGGGGGTAAGCGGTAACTTGCGATTACTTTTCCACTATATAGCCAACACTGGCTTCGTAAGGTGATAGTTATTCGTTCCGGTCTGAGTTATAAACTGAAAAAGTATATGCCTATCTTGATAGCTACTATACATTCATTATGTATCGTTTGAGATTCGTCGATCGCCTCAAATCGAAGGCTATCGTAACAAATGTGAATTCACGATTGGTCACGATTTGGACGAAGCCGTTTGTGTGGGTTTTGTTGGTGGTCGATTTTCGGCGAGTAAACACTACGTGGTACCGATCGACACGTGCACGAATATCTCTGAACGCATGAAGAATATTGTCTCGGAATTTCAACAGTTCGTTGCGAAGAGTGGTGAAGAGGTCACTGGTTTCCATTGTGTTGCACCAATACATCGATAATGTTTTCTTTCTTTTCACAAATACGATCATTCAGAAAACTTCTCTTAGTTCGATGAACTTGCGAGAGATTTGATGCAAATATGTAACGCAAATTTTCAACTGATTAAAAATTTCGATCTTGTTGGAATTCGAATTCATGCAATTCACGGTTACGGTTACGGTGCGATTGTGGACTTTTTTTGGTTAATAGTATCAATTGTTTTGTTATTGATGGTTATATTCGTTGTTATTAGATGTTGATTTCGTTGTAGACTTTCAACGAATTCAGTCGTGTCGGTGTATGGAGAATGTTAACGGTTCGGCAGTTCGGCAGCGAAATTATGCTCATAGTTACCGTATTTCCAATTGAAGATGCTAACAGGGAAACTGTATTGAAGAATAATATCATTGAACAATTTCTGCGAAAGAAAAATGCAACTGACGAAGAGAATAGTTTACGAGTTAATTCAATC